CAGTGCCACCGCTCCATCCAATCCAGTATGTTGTTCCCGTCTACATTAGACTAACGATTACAGGGAAATGGCCGTCATTCAAATGCAGTAAAATTTGTAAAATTACATGTCCATTAAACGGGGCGACGGAGACTAGGATAATACACACGCTTGTAATGATGATTAACGACACCACTTCAAGTCGTTGCATTGTTTAGACGATTCCCTGCTTTCTTTTACAAAACGTATCAAAATAGTCTGGCACGGGCTGGTATAAATTGCTTGAGGAAGGACCGATTTAAAAAAAAAACTCTATCTCTTAAATTTTGATTAAGTCCAATCTGCACTCGTCGGTGTTGATGGTAAAGTAGCTCAATGCAGACACTCGAATGGCAACTGAAATGAGCTGAGATCAAACTTTTCGCTCCCGTGATCTACTTGACTACAGCGACAAGGACCGTCCCTCCACTAAATGTAAAGACTGCGATTGGGCAGACCTGGCGATTATGGGCTATCAGGATTTCAAATCAGTTGGCGTCTTATCGGTGTTTGCGCAAACCATGGCGGTGACTGAAGTCAGTTTGTCTTCTCCTACTGATGCGCATGTAGCCTTAAGGATTGGCGTATCTTATAACAGTTTGCAGATAATAGGCCCAACACTGACTTGCCACGCAAGGATAGATCCTGGACATTAAACTATTACATTTTCAGGCTTACAATGAAACTGCATATCTTACAAAGAACATGGGCGTCTGGGTTTGAGTATCAATTTTACAGTGATGTAAGGCCATTGGTTATAAAGTCTCCATTTTAATCAGCATCTTGAATGACTAAATTAATTTCTTTACCCAGAAAGAAAAAAATATGTGCGTTTAGGGAAGGGAAACCTATTTATTACAGGGTGCCTGTGTGCCAAGCCACTGGCGCGTGCACGATCCAGTCAATATTGGTCTTCAAGCTAGAAATTGGGAAGATTGTGTTTGTATCGTTTGTACAAAATTAGTAACGCCATTATTTGACGTATCTTGACAAGTGCATCACATTAATCTTAGGAAATTAAACAGCAAATGACTCCAATTTCTCAAGTGTTTAGACCAAAGTTATAGAATCGACCGGGCAATATGAGCCGGCTGAGCCAAATGTGCGTGTTGCTCTTGTGTGTATGCAAGCACTTCTTAAATTAAAAAATTTTTCATTTCCAAATCCTGCACCACAATGCTTCTGCTACAATGAATTGTACTGCGACATCGAAGAGATCAATTCACAACTGGAATCTGCCATCAAAGTGTTTTACATTTTATCAAATATGAGCCAAAAAATAACAATTTACCGCGTTATTGAAATAAAGACCACTCAGATAATGGTACGTGTTGGCGCGTCAAAACCATACGAAATTGGGCATAGCTAAGAAGCAATTAGGAAATGAAAATCTGCGTGATTCTCATCAATTTTGAGATTTTTGTGATGCCTCAGATTTTTAAAATGTAAAAATTTCGTGTTAAAATCTTCATATCCAAATGCTGAAAGCCTGTAGACTTCTCAAAACGTTCAGTATCAAATTTATTCAGCAACTTCGCAAAAACATTTCATCTCCAAAATCAAAAGCAACATTTGAAGCACCTAGGTCCGTAACTCACTGAAAATATAGACTAAAAAATTATAGTTTTTGCTCAAGTGCGCCTGACGCTTTTGACATACCCTGTGACAAATAGTTACGTACTTGATGTCCCACGCGTCTATCGCCGTTAATGAAACATTAAGTAGACCTAATATGCTTTGATGCTCGACAAAACACAACACAGTTGGTCACGTTTATTATGCTACGATTACGCTGTTAAATAATTTTCCATTTTCAATATAATTGTCATCTATGCGAAGCTACTTTTTTTTTCTAAAGTGTAAACTATTTTTTGCGGGCTGTTATAATCACATTTCTAACGGTTACATCGACATCTGTTTTCTACTGAAGTTCTCTTTGTGATTGTTGCGAAAGAAGTTTACTGTGCCTCTATTAGGCCTAAGTACGTCGGAAAGCGGCAAAACGTGACAGTTTGAATACGGGCGTTTCAGAGTAGGGCGCCACCAAGAGTTTGAAACGCGTTGGCCAATCACATTGCACGAAATATGTCGACCCAGCGCGCGTTTGGAAAGGGTCGACAGAATTGGCGCGTTGTGATTGGCCGACGTGTTGCAAACTCTTAATGGCGCACTACTGTGAAACGCCTGTATTAAGATCGGCACCGATCGAAGTAAGTTCGAAGTCTTTCCTCGCTGAAGTCATTGGAGCTTACCTTGTTGTGAGTTACTTTGTTAAATTGACACGTCTTTGCCGGACCTCCCTGCGAAAGATTGAAGGAGCGGCATCGGGGCTCGGCCCTGCAGGCCTGGCCACACTCGCTTACTCCCTTCACCGTCAGGTTCCTGGTCTCATAACCGAGTAGACACCGCTGTGCCATGCGGCTGCCTTGCCCGAGCGATGTGCAAAAAGTATGGACAAGGTGAAGCATTTTGCAAATTGCGAATCTCTTTTTCAGTGCAGTTTGCAGATTTAAGATAACCAACACGCCCCCCTTGATAACGCAGCAATGTCCAAAGTTATGGTCAGAAATCCTCCAACGCACCGTAGATTCCTGTCGACAACTTCACAGCCGATCCAAGGGAAAATTCACTGAACACTTGTTTTCGTAGCTTCATGATGAACTCGTGTTCCTCTCATGAATTGGGCATTAAGAGAATTCTGCCCAGACGTTGACAAGCTGTCAAAGCATCGAACCAAGTAAGCTTCTCCTTCAGCGCTATGTAGCACAAGTCACGCCAGTCGTACCAACCTGGAGGGCACGCTGTAAGAATGGCATCATGAGCGCCTACCGTCATCCAGATTAGAATTGCCAGGCTCAGTTGAGTCCAGATTCCCGTTGTGGGTAGCATTTATATTAAGAAACTGACACAGGTGTCTCTCAAGAAACTTGACGATTTTTCGTTTCTAACTGACAAGGCTTTCTTCAATTGGTAATATTTTTTTCCTGATTGGATCCCGCTATCAGTGTGCGATGAAAATGGTCTTGTGATCTGACACCGAGCAATCGCTCCGTTTGTCTGACGAGAGAATTCCGTTCTGGTGTTAAATGATACATGTTCATACTACAACAAAGAAGCGGCCCGGACGACCATTATCATTTACAATCAAGAGCAAACAATGGAGTTGCTTTCCCCTTGAAACTCATTGGAAATTAATTAAAAATTTTCCCTTTTCAACTGTTGCCATTTTGCTGTACAGTTCTGCAGGTAATCGCATGCAGCAGTACAGCCCGATCCTTTCCATAACAAAAATGAAGTTGGCTGGCTTCTACAATAAGACTAATAATGCTGGTGGGCGTTGTGTAAATCCTTATTACGTTGGAGAATGCAATCATTCAAATCAAGTCTTTAGATTTTTCTGTGAGAAAAATTCTTAGTAATTATCCTTGAGAATTCTACGTAAGCAAGAATGATAGTGGAAAATGAGAAGAAGAGGTGGCTTTGAAATAGATGTAAAATCCCTTTGATATAGTTCGATCTTTTGTTCAGGCAGGCTTTGAGAGATCAAAACCTTTTCCCCGCCATTTAAGATGTCCATCTACAGTTCGAAGAAGATACATTCTCCGGTAAAGCCATTGGAGCTTATCCCGTCGTGCGTCGTATTGTTGAGTTGGCAGGTCTTGGCCAGACCTCCCTGCCAGAGATTGAAGGAGCGGCATTGTGGCTCGGCCCAGCAGGCCTGACCACACTCGCTGACTCCCTTCACCGTCAGGTTCTTGATATCATAACCGAGTAGACACCGCTGTGCCACGCGACCGTCTGGTCCGAGTGGTGCGCAGTAAGTCGGTACAAGGCGAGGCATTTCGCACATTACGAACTTAGGTTTATTGCATTCATCATAAAAAAGCTTCCCGATTTCCTTACCACCTTTGGAAATGCAGAATCGTCCATGAATACGTGCTTGCTCATCGATTGTACCGTCTTTCCTAGAGTTAATGGAAACGTTTTTTCTAAGTTGTCCTCTAATGCACCGTACATCCCCATCGATATAATTACAGCCAATCCAAAGTGGTCTTCCACTAAACTCATTAAACACTTGGTCTCGTAGGTTCATGATGAATTCGTGTTCCTCTCGTGAATTGGGCACAATGAGACCGCCACCCTGACGCTGACAAACAGTCATAGCATCGAACCAAGTAAGCTTCTCCTTAAGCGCAATGTAGCACGAGTCACGCCAGTCGTACCAATCGAGCGAACAGCCAGCCACAGCGACCAGGACAACACTCACGCTTGTAAGGATGACAAGTGGTACGGCTCCAAGCTTTAGCATTTTTTTTTCAGATCACACGATGAGTGTGCCCTCCGGGACTTTTGAATCGACGATATCTGGAATGTTTTTTTAATGTTGGAAATAAAAGGAAACACAGTGCACCGAATCGAAGCTGAAATGTCTGTTTCGGTCACTTTCGACTGCTGGACGAAAAACGATGAGGTCTCCAGTTCTCGTGCTGGTTGCTGCAACTTATTATAAAAAGAGTGAAATTGGGCGTACTTTGAATTGGCTGCAGTTGCTGCTTCCACATTATTAATGCTTTTGCAAAGCTCCGCAGTGGATGATAGATACCAAGTGGTCCCCAATGCCATTTCTCAGTCATGTGCGTAAAAGAGCGGTCTGGATTACAGTGCTTAGAAAGATTTTGCAGAATTTCCATTAAGCGTGAAGACTAATGGTTCCCATGACGATGATTATCGCATCTTGAATTCAGGGTACCACCCGTTTGCAACGGATATTAAAAATTAATGGCTCGTTAAGAAATTGCACAATTGGAATTTTATTGAGAACGTGAATAACGGTAAATATCGGAGCCATAGTACTAGGCAGCTGGTCACTAATTTCAGCTGTGTCAAGCACCAGCGGCTTTCGTCAGGCTTTTGAGAACCCTGCCCTCTCTCGGCCGCATTTGGTCTAACTCTTGGGTCTGCCTGTCATTGAGTTTTCCAACCGGCCAACGTGGAAAGACAGCGGTTGTGGCATTTTATTATAGAGATCAGTGATTGTGACATTGACTTGATATTTTTAGCGTCAAAGCGACGTCATTGAATTGAAAAGGAATGAACTGAACTGAATCGGGCTGCATGCCCTGAAGAAGGTACTCACGTACCTTGTGAACTGAATCTGCTTGCCCTGAAGAAGGTCACGGTGTTCAGTTACCGAAAGCTCGGCAATCACATATTCCAGAGCATCTTTTTTTATATTATATTCTTGTCATTCAATAGAATGCTCCCAGACTGCTAAATTTAAACTGTTGTGTCGTCCTGTCATTGTGTTTGTTTAAAATCAAGTTCATATCCGTTTCAAATGGTGCTACATGGACGAATCCCCCAGCCGTTTTTGCGTCTAGAATCTTCAATGTTAATTCGGCGAACCTGTTACACTTCTGAAAGGTGCACTATTGTTTAGTTTGTAAATTCAGGCAGACATGCTGTTTAGTCCTTTGCACGTTGTCTGTGAGATGAAACAGAGTCAGTCATTCTGTCGTATATTAAATGTTCTTTAATATTCTCCCGTCTCAATAATATGGGCATTGTTTGCATATTGTATCTGGCTAATTATAGAGATTCATAACATGCAATTTTAATTTCCTGTAATGATGCATTAAAGAAGAAGTAAAAATATGCAATTAAACTATAGGACGTATAAGTCCCGGGAAATGGTGGTATATCTTCCTTTGTAATCAGGTGGTATGGGATACCGGGTCATCCCCCAGACACACCCACACTTTTTTGTAGCGAGGAAAAAAGGCGAATTAAGTTGACGTTTTTGTTGGACTTTCAAACAACCATAATGCATCATTAGAATGGAAAAAAGGAGAAAATGTACAAAGAGCTTTATACACGCTATTCAGACCCCTGCTTACCCTCTAAACAAGGAAAGCAGTAGGGTCTACATTCCTCATGGGGGGGGCTAGTTCAAAAGCAACAAGGAAATCGGAAGGGCCATAAGGAAATTTGACTGTCAGGATGAGGAAAGTTTCAGTGGTGTATTCAGCGGGGCAACTTGCCCCGGACACGCTTGCACAGATTCACGCTAATGAATGTTAAAATTATAAATTGCGAACAGCGTTGCGTATCATGAACAAATCTGCAAATCTTATTTAAAGTTCTAAAAGTTAGAAGGGAGTGAGTCGACTATTGCCTGGTATCCGTTGGGTATGTAAATATGAGCCATCACCCGGCAGGCCTAACCAGCGAAAATTATCAATGGTCCACACAACACTTTACGACCTCGAACTTGTAACGTGCTACTCGCTGGTAAGGATGATACTATACGTTTTGCCACTTTTCTGATCAAACTTGAGGATTGTTTTCACCACTCATTGGTAGGCCTAGTGTTTTGCGAGATCTTGTGAACGGCTAGTTTATGCACGAGTTCCTTGCTCTATGGTTTACGGGTGTTCATTAAACCTTTGACACCCTGTTAATAATGAAAATGAGGTCCATTTTTTCAAACTAAACATTCAGCCTTTTAATTAGGATCTATTCGTTACTCCTAGTAACTTTAGTTTAGGTAAATTTTGACAAAATTTAATTTGCAAGAAAACCACATTTTTTTACCCGCGGTTTGCCGAAAGATGATCGTATCACCGTATCAGGCCGTTTTCTTTCACGTCTGGTTACCCGACCCACCCATTGTGGATGTACTGAATTTCTTAAAAGAAACGTCATCCAGGTCAAGTAACCAGACTACATGTGCGGATTTGTCTTCGTTCACTGCTCTTCGTCGCGTCATTTACGCTGCCGTTTTATCCTATAATTTCCCTCAAAAACCAAAGCCCTTCCCTCTTTTCTTTCTTGATGTGAAAGAGGACATCACCGCCAACTTATTTAAGTAAGTTGTTTCGAAAAGGTAGACTCTGTCTCCTTATTACAGGAACAGGGTGCTAATGGCCAATGAACACCAGTTTTTTCATTAAGAACCATTTACAAAGAAAATTTACCAAGAAATAGGGTCAGTGCTTGCCCAGGTTGGACCATACCTCCGTAACCATAACGTAGCTTAGTACGGTCAGGGAGTCCACCTGGGCTAGGGTCAGCGCAATTAAGAGAGTGTAGCCTTTGTTTTTAATTGTAGGGGGACCTACCAGTTTTGCAAGATAAAATAAACAACTGGGGGGGGGTGCCCTAGTACTAGTATACAATCCCCTAGTCCAAATTGCCTAAACTTGTCTCTAACCATGGAGGAAGGATGCAAACTTAGTTCTTAACATATTGGACATCCGATTGTGAGAAAGTCATTCTGGGTAGGCATTTATGTATGAATTTATGATCAGCTCTTAATCGTTTTGCACTCAACTATAAAATTCCAGCCAAGTGCCAGAGAATCGTCGACCTTGCATTTTAGGGATTAAGCCTACCATTCCTTAGTTCAAGGCTAAACTATTGTCAATTTTAAAAAGAACATTTTTTTATGATGGCCTTTGTTATTCCAGGTTCAGTTTAGTTCCAGATTGTGCTGTCAAACATGGAGTTGACTCACTTGAGCGATAGGACGACGGAGTACGCGGGTCCCGTGGGGACCCATGACATCAATGGCATCATGTACCCTGAATATGTGACCGAGCACTCCCTGAATTTGGTCAGAGACTTTGAAGTACGCGAGGACGATGTGTGGATAGTTGCTTTTCCAAAGGCAGGTAATGGCACATTTATTAATACATTATGCAGGTGAAACACCGATGTGTTTTTTCCTTGAACGCTTACGTTGATTTAAGCTGTTCATAACTTTACATGTACTTAGAATGAGAATATGGGAAAAAATTCTATATGTGAATGCCCCCAGATTTGCCCTGTAGTTTTATTCCTGTTAGGCCTCAAACTTGTCCTAAAACTTCAAATTTAGCAATGACAGTATTGAGGCATTCACTTCAAAATCACTTACAATTTTCATGCTGTTCTCATAGGCATAGTGCGCAGATGTCAAGCGGTGTCCATATGTGGAATTCTGTCCAAAAATTCGTAGAAAAGAATCATTATTTTCTGTGCATTTTCTCACAACCAAGAAAGTGGCATTTCAATTCACTATACTGTGTATTTTTTGGATCCCCAAGGATTATCCTTAAATGTTTATTTTTCTGAAATACTTATCTGTACAGGGACGCACTGGATAGGCGAAATCGCCAAACTCGTCCTTGTCGATGGTCACAAAGAGAAGATTGACCGCTCCCAGCAGTCTCAACCGATTTCCTTTGGCACATACCTTGCCGAGGAGTCCCTCTGCAAGAGGGCCCTAGCTTGGGCATCACCAAGACTCCTCAACACCCACCTGCAGGAGCACCTTATTCCAACCCAGCTCCATCAAGGCAAAGGCAAGGTATGCATTAGATTAGATGCCACGTTGCAGTATTGGAAGAGTGATCCGATAGGCATCGTCATCAGTCAAAGTCATCTTTTACAAGACTTCGTCTCAAGTAGCTGGGATGGACAGTCTGAAAGCAAGTACATTTGCGAGAGTGTGCTTCGATATATAACAGGTTTTGCCCTTACCCAGCATATATATAGACAAACACTGCATGCTCAGTGCTTTTTCCAGAGCTTGTGAAAAAATTCACAAGCTTACTCAGGTGGGACTTGAACCCACGACCTCCTGCTTACTAGTGCAGATGTCTTAACCACTCGACCACCGAGCTTGCCGGGGTCGGCTGGCCGGTCCGAGTCAGGTGAAGCAGCGGGTACCACGAACTATTTTTCAAGATGTATTTTTTGCGTTGGGGAGATGTTAATTTATATAACGGGTTTTGTGCTTTGATAGCTTACTATGACTTGACTTGAGACAACATGGCTTGCGATGGGCTGATGATGGTCTCATTGGGACTTGTGATGCACTCCCCCTCCCCCTTTGAAAAGAAATTGAAAAAAAAAGGGGGAAAAATGGGAAAACTGTTTTTAAAAAGATATAAAAATCACCAATTAGCTGAACAAACACGGTCAACTCAACCCCCTCTCCACCAATAGTCGATCAGTTCATTGCTGAAAATTAAGCCCCCCCCCATATCCTGGCAATGCCCATGTACTCCACTGCAACGCTGTTTAATACTGCAGTGTTAGCCTTCCTAAAAAATGGGCACGTGTTCAGTTACAAAGACACGGCAAGGTTGAGTGGGCCTTTGCTTGGGAGTTACTTGCCATGTGCATGCACGCATCAGACTGTCTCTCCTTGACTTTCCTGTTGGCCTTGCTGTGATGCAAGACGCATTTCCCAAACTGGATTTGGCATAGAATTTATGGGAAGTCCATTGATTTGGAATGTTGACACATCTTTGCCCTCGCAGATGATCTATGTCGTTCGCAACCCCAAGGACAGTGCGGTGTCCATGTACTACTTCCTCAAACCTAGGAATTACCAAGACCTGAGCGATTGGGACAGGTTCGTTGAGCTATACGGAACTGAAAAGAGTGAGTCAACTATAGTCATTGGGATTGTGGAAGGATTAACCATATCCTGCCGGGGAACCCAGTTTCGGGGAGCTTGGGTTTGTATGCATAGCTGGGGTGCCCAAAATCGGACAAAAGAGCTGGGCCTTGTAACAAAAGACCGTACTTGGGACAAAAGACGCACTGCTGGGAATTGCCATCATTTTTCAGCTTGCATTTATCGGAGGTAGTCCGTCATTGTTTTGAAACAGTATACCACTGTTTTGGGCATAGCGCCCCTGCGGATTAGCACAGCAGACAAATCGATGAGCGATACAGTACCGCTGCGCGCTAATCCAGCTGTGTGTGAAAAGACGCCACTGGCATTCATTGGGAACAAAGGAAATTACAAAACACTTCACAATTCTGGGCTCTCTTTACAGGGCAGCAGGCCTGGCTGAAATACTCGGACGTCAATGGAGGATGCATGTCAGATAAGAGTAGCCACCAAGCAGTCATTCATGTGGGTGTAAACATCCATCAAATGAAATTATGAATTTTTGAAGAATTTTGAAAATGGAAAATCTAGAAAATTGCCCGTATGTAGGCACTGCATTTAAAAGTACCCGGCAGCATATGGTTAAGACATTTATATCACAAAAGGTGTGCTGAAAAGCCTGAAAATTCTGTTTACGCAAGTGATCATATGGAGTACGGGATAGATTCTGAGGTCTTTTCAAGGAAATTGGTGATTTTTATTCTTAATTTTTTTGTTTGTTTCACTTTGTCTTTGTTTTTTTCCCCCTCTTTTTATTTTTCAATTTTTAGAAACCTCCCTTGCCTCCCCATGATACCCTTTTCACCGATGCACTGCATTACACTGTTCCTGTCTGAAGTCCCAGATAGTTATTTTGGACTTTTGGATCTAAAAAGCACTTCTTATCTGATTGGATAACTTAATTCAAATTGTTCCATAAATACATGTACATGTATCTCTTCGAAGCCACCAACCCTCTCCCAGGTTCGACTTGATGTCAGATTTTACCAGTTTGTGGGGGTTTTTTTTAGGAAATAATATTCGAAGTTTGTGGATAAACTGATGGGTAAAATTTAACGTCCTAAAAATGGAAAATAAATGAAAAATAGCTGTGGCTGCTGACAATTTTCTTAACCCTTTGGACAAAGATGGGAATCCTTATTCAAATGTTAAGCTCCTAAATACTTTCAAGACAATTCCTGAAAAACAAAATTGCCAAGAATTCAAGTTTTTCTCTTTGGTGTTTGTATTTTTGTTACCTAGTGCGATGGGGTTCATGGTATTCACACGTCCTGGGATACTGGGAGAAGCGCAACGATTTCAAGAACATGCTCTTCTTGAAGTATGAGGATGTGAAAGCCGTAAGTGAAGACAGAAACTAGGCAATATTCTTGGAAAGAACAGTCATGGTTATTTTTGGGGCACTGCATTGTTACTATCTCTGCTCATTGGGACCATTAAAATTCCCCCAAATCGTCTTCAGCTCTTGGGGGCGGTATACACTTTGTTGCTACCATTTCAGGCACAAAAGACTGACCAAACAACAGTGCTGTAGTTGAGCCCATCCCAAGACCTTTCACACGAGCAGACACAAGATCAGTCACAAATTACAGGGTGAACAATGACAAAGGAATGCTTTTGTAGCAGTTCATCTGAGTGGCTTGTGACTTGAATTCAGACTGGAGATCCTGGATTTAGACTGGTGATGTACCGGTCCAGTGAGGTTTTATGACAGTCCTGAGAGGGCCTCAACTACCAAATCGTCCCTGGTGTCCCAAGTACCAGCATGTATTTAAACTCCCTTGGTAGAGAGAGGTAAATGAGGTTTAATGCCACTTGTCCGAGGTCACATCGTACGCCCTGTCACTGGATTTCGATCCCTGATGATCCATTGATTAAGAGGTCCAAACCCTCATACGTGCTTGGCCAAGCGTCCCCAAATTTTGAGCAAATGCGGTAAGCTGCCAAGTGACAAGCATACCAAAATCTGTTGAGGAAGCTGATGCCAGGAAAGAAGCAGATATTCTTCTTTCACGTTGACAGTCAGGCCTTACAAGAATAGCGGTTGGCACAAACATGCAACTGATTAAGCATGGCGTGTGCAAGATGTCCAGATGTACATTGTTTAACTTGGTCACTAAACACAGAAGAAATTCCTAGTTGAATAGACACTTTCATTACTAGCATATGTGGGATGTACATATATAAACCATAAACAAAGAGATCCGCTTATCCAAGGAGCAAAGCATCTCTGGTCATTTGAAAATTTGCTGACTTTTAATGTTTCACAGTAATGTTTACTTTTTTTGTTGGCAGGACACTCGGAGAGCCATCCAACAGATTGCCAAGTTCCTGAATCACCCGCTGAGTGACGATGCTCTACAGCGGGTCCTTGAGAACGTCTCCCTAAGAGAAATGAAGAAGACATACCACGTGGCCGGGGAAAGCAACTACGGAAAGCAGAAAGTGGCTGACAAAGTTGGAGGGGCACATTTGATAAGAAAAGGTGAGTGTTTTGGGAAATGAAGAGATGAAGCAGAACTCGTCTGTTCTGCTGGTCTTAGTGAGGGCTCCTAAAATTGCGCTGCTACTTCGAATATGACTACCAGAACTCTCTGTTTGGCTTGTTAGACACAGTAGTACATTATTCGGTGGTGTCACACCACTAGCAGAGTACCAATTCTGTCTCTACAGTGCGGTGTGTCTTCTGGCCACAAAAATGAATACTTTAACGTATAAGTCGCTTTGTTGTAGCCCAGTGCGGTCTCAGCCAGTGAGTCCACAATGGACAGTGGCTGCAAAATATCTTGCTGAGGAACAGCCAAGTGCAATGATGGCAGCATTCTCACTTGAATATTGTCCGTTTTTATATTATTTCCTCCTATCGTGTAGATGGGAGAGAATAGAAATAAACGAAAATTGAATACCTTTTTAGGTCTCCTCCATTTGAAGACTTGCCCTCTTGACAAAACTGGGACGTTGTTGTTATTTTGGGGGGGGGGCGTTACAGGCACCATTGGGGATTGGAAGAACAAGTTCACTGTCGCTCAGAGCGAGGTTTTTGACAAGATCTACCAGGAAAAAATGGCAGGATCTGGGCTCAACCTTCAGTTCCAGTAAGAACATCCAAGTGAAAAGAAGGTATGGTTGCATTTAATATTAAATGATTCCATTTGTGATTTTTCTGTTCGAAGCATTGCATTTCACACTAAGACAACTTTTTTGGGTCGGTCTTGGATGACATCGTGTTTATTCATTAAAAACATCACAGATCTTTTTCTCAACACCCCCCGCCTCCTCCCCCCCCCCGACTCTGTTTCCCCCTATGATATGAAAGCAAGCCAGTCCTGGTACAAACATGTGATCTCAAATTGTCTAGAACAGCCTGGACATCAAGTGGGTGTAACACCTGCAATCTGACTGATCCACAATGCAGTCATGAGGCTATTTGTGTCTATACCTGCGGGCAAAGCGTTGATATCCACGGGTGTGGATTAAACAAATTGCCATAAACCCTTTGGAAGTCGGCGGGTTTTAGCATTTACCGGTGCATAATTTCTGCAAAATTTTCCATTTCAGGAATTGAAGCATTTGACCTCCGTGTTATATTGTTTTAATTTTACCCTACTGTACACTAGTGTTTTATCTTTTGTACGAACACATAGGTTCATGTTTTGATTTGAAAAGTCATTTTTCAGGGGCGTCTCACTGTCAGTCACATGTTTGTCAATTTCAAACTCTTCATTAAAGCTCAAATCGTACATGATGGTTTTTTTTAAGCAGTCATGCAAATTTCCTGTCTTCACAAATGGTCACTCTTTTTTGTAACTTGTCATAAGCAAATACAAAGTTGTTGTAGCTTGGCCCGAATTCTCTACGTGTTGTGCAGTAGTTGCCAGCGCCTGATATGAAATTCCTTGAATAGTTAGTCACGGAGATTGAACACCTTGAGGCACTGTGGAAAGATGCATCTGGAGATGCATCCATTATTCATAGGCTCAGGAGGTTTATGGTCCTTATAGTAATTTTTATATTTGGATTTTCCATTCATAAGCTTTCTGCCTAAAAGCTGTAAGAAATTTGGAGTTGGAATGAACAGGGATTTGAACCTGGTACCTCTGAAAGATGTACCAAGTGCTTCACCAAGCGAGCTAACCCACCTCAGAGAAAAGTTTATAATCAATCCGTCCTGAGGTCAACAAGAGCATCCTAATTGAAACGTCTATCGAAGCACAGCCAAAAAGTAAAAAAAAGGGGTCCTCAACGGCATACACTGTGCCGGTGATTCTGAACAACCCCCATATCAGTGTAAACGCAAGAGCTCATGAATGGCTGAATGACGAGTCTGCAGAATAACAAATTATCTCCACAGTCTGAAGGTGAACTTTTTCTCAACTAGAACCACGTTCCTCCCCCACCTATAAACAGCTTCCTGGATAACACCCGCATTTGTCACACCTGGGCTAAAATAGAATATAATGGGTTTTCACTGCACAAGCTGCCAGCTCAGAGCAGATGCCTGCCTCTTCCCTCTGTAATCCAAGAGAATTTGTCACCCACGCCGTCAAGCTCATCTGGTCTCAGCCCGTCCAGGCCATTAAATATTAACTCCAGCCACAAGTCATTAACGACGCGGCAGGAGACGATTGGGGCCAGATTAGGGGAGGGATGGAATGACGGAAGAGAGCAGGACCAGAGCGAGCTTCTGACAGCTAGCGCTGACAGTTGACACCCGGCCTCCCGCGTAGCTCGACAAGTCATTTGACCCATCCTCGCATTGGCACGAGTTTCCACCGGCACAGGTTCATCAAGGGTCATAAATAAAAGGAACTGCACTCTAGCCTCGTGGACACAAAGTACCGTGTGCTTGTTAGTCATGTATTATTCCAAGCCTAGTTGAGTGCGCCACGCCAACAGCACCCGTGGGTCCAATTCTGTAGAATCACTCAGCATTGTCACCCAGTGGCAAAACCACCATTCCCTGCACAGAATATTTGTAACTTTTCATGATCTCTTCCAATTCCATCTTTCAAATTCTGCACAGTGTAAGAATCACTTTAAAGAAATTGAACTGTCATGTATTTTTAAAAACTTTTCTTTAAATTAAAAAGAAATAGTGAATCATTTAAATGAAATTGAACTGATTTATAAATAAGGTTTTGCCCTTTAAAAAACAACCATAAGGAGACTATCCCTTTCCAAATATCAAGAAGTAAAATTAACAACCAGTATTCAGCAACATTCCCCCATTTTTGGCCCACTGTGAAGCAAGTGCAAGCCTACGTAATACCGATTTCCATCTTCTGTCCATCCGGCCGTCCTCAAATGTAAAAGTTTTTCTTTGCAGGTCCATAGGTGTTAAAAGGTGCCATTCGGTGCTTGCTTGCTTCCTCTTGGAATTCCATCAGTATTTAAATAGTCTCATATGGCATTAATGCTTAGAAACTTATGAATTTAATGAAAAAATTATAAAAGTTGAATGTTAACATTTTGAGTTGTATTGTGCACTTACCCTGTAGTACATACAGTACCTACACGTATGTACTAAGCACTCCTGTAATGTACATGTGTGTATGTATTGACAGTGTTTAGACACATACAAATGTACATGTACAGTATGTGGGGAAAATTTAAGGGATGGGAGGGGACTCCAAGTGATAGATTAGGATGTTTGTTGGGGGAGGGGTACCTGTAGGAGGAGGATCATGGGGACAAGGTACACGTTTGTAGAAAGTGGATGAAATGCTGGATAAGGTTGGTGTAATGGTTGGGCTGGATTAGTGGGATGATGAGACAGCCAGAGTAAGAAGTGAAGGGAATGATGGGCAGGGGTGGAGTAGGAGATGGATAGGATGATGGGGAGGGGGCAGAGTAGGAAATGGATAGGATGATGGGGAGGGGGCAGAGTAGGAGATGGCTGGAAAGATAAGGTGGATGTGGGATTGGAGATAGATGGGATTAAGGGTGGAGTCAAAGTAGACATGGTACATATAGATATGGAATGATGCGATATGGATGATGGGGGTAGAATTGTAGAGGATAGGATGATGGGGTTGGATACAAAGTGCAAAACTGTACTTCAGCGGAATTTTAATTATGCACCATCCATCAAACTCACAAATGCACTGCTCATCATCCAGGTCTAGTCTGACTGTACTGGACCCACATTCTTTAGGCATTCCTCTCTCCTGTCAAGAACTGTGGAGCCTTTGTTCCTGTATCTCCCTTGTTGGTGGTCTTTGTTGATTTACTTTTAAACGACAAGCGCCTTTCAACACCAGTCTGCACACAGCACTAACTAGGTTATTTTCTCTTAGAGTACAATGAATTTTACTGCCAAGGTCGATAAAACATCTTGTACATCTGTATTGCAGTCGTATGTCAACCAATCTTGTTAAACATATTGATGAAGCTTGGTTAGTATTTTCTTTTTTACTTTAGTAACCATATTTGTATAACTTGGATGTCTCTCAGTGGATATCCATCCTATCCATCTCAAATTCTTAACAAGCAGCGAGCCATGGCGGCTTTGCCATTCTATTTTTCTTTTTAGTCATCCTAGCTTCATCCCTGAAGTTAAAAATCTCCTGACTTGTCTATCGCTCATCCCTCGAGCTAGCGACGCTGGAAAGCCCGATTCGGGCCCAATGACCGTCCTAAATAACTAATTTGCTTTCTCACCTTTCCGGAAGGATGGGCACCATCAGTTTCTCCTGGGAAATAAATATCACGGGGGGGGGGTGATTGTGCTGCTCTCAAGTCGTAGGCTAGGTCTTGTTCTCTTGGCACAGCTGGCCGGAGGGCTTAGTGTGTGTAACAAAGACGCCAGGAAATTAAGCTTCAAGCGTGACTTGTACCCTGACTCCTAAAGGGAGATTACGATAAGAGTCTTTGACAAATCCCAAGACTTTTGAAGGGGGATGGATGGTGAACCAGTTGGGATGCATGTCCTAATTCTGTTGGTTCCTGACAGTACATGTACTCCGTATTTACCCATGTTGTAATAATTAGTTAGGACTGTTGGGAGATGTTCTTGGTCATAGCATTAAAGAAAGTGCAAAGTGTGGAACCTTGCACTTCTGAAACAGTTGATGCGTTGGCAATCAAAGGCAGTTTCCGTCACCACTCTTCAGCAAAATGAAATTGATCAATTGTCACATCAATGCAAGAGTCTGCAAACGTGCTTTCAGTATTGGAGCACAGTTGAAAGGCAGTTACAATCTGCAAAAATGTAACATTCATGGAGCAAGCTGTATAACATTCTGACTTGGTGTGCTTTAGCTATGGTATCCTACCACGTACAATTTCAAATACCGTTTTGTAATTGACCAGTTTCCAATTTCATAAACAATTTTTTTCCTACTTGGTTATATACATGTACTAAGTTTCCCCCTTCCTTCATTCCATACGCATCTTGAATAATTCCTTTCTGCGTCTCAAGTGAATTGTGAGTGATCGAAAAAGGCATTAATAAAAGATGAGTCAGTCAGAAAGTATTGCGAGCAGGGAAAAGTATTCATCACAGCGATATTCATGAAAATTCAGAGTTGAGGCAAGGTCAGGTCAACACAGCAGTTCATGAGACAGTTGGTGGACTTTGCACAGCTTTTTTCTGTTTATTCAACCTGCAGTCATTGCCAAAAAGTGAGGAGAAACAGAATTTATCATTACATTTTGTGCTACATTTTAATTGCAAAAAAAAAAGAAAAAAAATCTTTGAATATTGAGAAGAAACTAATTTTGAGTGTACTGAATTCTTGGAAACCCAAACAAAAAGACTGCGGAAAGAAAGGCTTTTACATTTGATAATATTACAGTTTCTGCATACCTTCCTGATAGTTAGTGCAGAACAGTAAGTATCCCATTTTGGCAAATATAATTTACTCCTTCTACTTGAGATGGCACTGTCCATTTTATTTGAAAGAGCACATTAACTTTTCTGCTCAACGCTCAGAAATTTCAGACACACTTGATAAACAGAACAATATCCAAATTGCAACAAAGATATAAATACAGAAGTTAGATTTTTGTCGCAGATTTTCCATTATTCCTGCCCGTCTGTCACAGAACTAAAAACTGAATATCCAAACTCAACATAGAAAGTGGAGATATCCAGCCCAAAGGATGTGCCTTCTAAGAACCCTTAGTGTAGCAAATTAAGCACAAGTTTAAAATGATGAATACATAGAAGTACAGCTTTGAATTCCAAAATTTGCATATTAAGAAATTTATAGCAAGCAATTACTTTAACGTTGCATGTTAAATGACATCTTAACAAGTAGGAGAAATGTGTAGGTTTTACTTAATTGAATTCTGTACATGTACATGTACCGGTATAAATGTTGAACGTGGCCCAATCTTGTAACAACCTTATCTGCAGGAAGTTGTTGGTGCAGAACAAGGAATAAGAGTTACTTTAGAGTACATTCAAGGTTTGTTTTAGAACAAAATATCAGACAGGACTTGCTCATTGCTTTCCAAACGGTTCTCAAGCAGTTTGGTTACATTTATACACAACCATCGTTCTCTACATGTGGGTGAATACTTGTTTCAAAAGAGCCATGCACAGTCGTATTTACAGTTTGTCCTGCAGAGTATGCACTTCAAAAGGATGTGACTTTTACCATACTTTACCCCTTGACAATGTTCCCACTCCCCAATCCTCCCAAAAACTGCCAATCTAGAACGGTGCCGAGTCATGCACTGATCAAAAACCATGGCAACCGGATTACCCATTAAAACATTTCCAGATGACAATCTCCAGTGTTCTGAAAAAAAGCAAAATGTTTCCGCTACCTCATAAGTGTGTATGCTTTTTTTCAGAAGACAAAATTAATTCATCAAGAATCCTGCTACACTGTAGTTAAAAACATAGATACAAAAGAACTTCCCAGCAAATTTAGAGCAGTTCATTATGAAATTATACATGTAAACTTAACTCAGCTAAAGGTGAAAAATAAATATTAAAAAGTACACTTTAAAATGCAGAACCAAAATTACATTAAGTTGAATATAAAAATGCAAGCCTGAAATCCCGAGCCAAAAATACACAATACCTAATACTACAAATGTACATGCGGCAGATCCTGAAACTACATAAATGTATGTACAGGTGAAACATGTACAAAAATAAACCAAATGTCCTTGTTACAATTACATCCATGTAAATTGGTGTCATTGTAGGCAAGCTCCTTTCATGTTTCTGATGCAGTCAAACCTTGGTAATGACAGCATCGTTACTACAACATTCTGCTCGTATCAAGGACATTTTCAAGTCCCAGTCTTTCGTCGTCATTTTTATTCCTGATCATACAAGGTTTCTCTTACAACGTGGCCTGAAGGACCTCTTGTTGTACTGTAATTTTAAATGTATCACTTGCCACACTTTCCACTGTCCCATTTCTACATTTTAAAACTGAATAGAAATTTCTCACTTCCCTTACAACCGCTGTGGGGTCAACCACAAATACAATACATACAACTTAAATGTACATACGTACATTTAAGTTGGTGCATTAACCCGAAGCCCCAAGATTGTATGTAAAATCGTATTGAAATTGGAGGATTTGGGACTGTTAGGGTTAAAGTGTGTACATACATGTTCGTGTTGACCGCTCTCCACTACATCAACCTTAAGAGGCCTTTTGAACAACTTTACCCCAGTGTAAGCAGGAACACTTGTCACAACTACACTCTGACGTATGTTCCCGTCATGAGAGGAGATGCCATTCATTGTGCACATTCAGTGGGGTCACGTGTACAATTTGGGCAAGTTATCCATCACGTGCACACACGTCTTCGAACAAGTCATCCGAGCAGGTCACACTGCACCTCCACAGAATCCTTACTGGTGTCATGAGTAAATATGGACCCCTTTGAAATCCAGTCACCTTTTTCTTACATTGAGCCCTTCCCTCCTATAACCCTGGCACTTGTCACTGTCGTGTGCGTTAAGTCATGCCCAAAACTCTCAGAGGGTCCATATTCCATAATCAGCGTTTCATGCCTCGCTGTTGTTTCATCAAAACGTATGAGAATACATTATTTTGAGTTCAATTGAATAAATACATATATCGCAGCGCATTAGACACTAAAAAGCTATTAAGTACTATAAATACATTATTGCATATGTTTAAAATCCTTAAGACCTTTGGGAAAGATTCCTCCACCACTGTGTCCCACAACATAGGGTGTACCTTTAGGGAAATGGACAATGTTTTCCCGGCAAGACTTTACAAGCAAGTCCAACCTAGATGACGTAGGTATAACGTTGCTGCGCCATTTTCTCAATTCCACGTTTGATCGATATGACAGCGCATCACTGTAAAAAAAGGAAGGTGACTGGCGATCAGTGGAACGCACAGAGGAGTTTTTTTAATGTGCTGCTAGCGAGCACTGCTTCCGGTTCCGATGAGGATCAGCTTACTCTGACAGGGTGCCCATACATGCATTACATGTGTGTAGATCAAATCTATAGCCTGTGGAATTTTGGCTGATGAGATGTGGATTCATCCACCGGCTCACAGCATTTTTTAGCGGAGTCTGAAAGCCTCATGTTTACACAAGTTTCTAGAGATGGGCAGGCGAGATGGTGTAGAGGTATAGAGTGTCCTCACTCGGGAAATGGACATCAGATGCCAACATCAATTAAAATGGAAACAGCCGCTGCCATAAAATGCCCCATCACAGTTCAGACGTCAAAGTCTGTGAACCTACTTTACAAAAATTTACAACTCAGTCCTCACTTCTAAAAGTCTCTCTGTTATAAGAAAGGAACATTCACAGTGCATACCTTAAGCACACACTTTGGATATGACAAACCGCCTACTTTTCATGTGACATAAATCCCTGGTCAAATTAACGTTACATGACAATACAGGTATGGTAAATGTGCCAACGTACTGAAAATCTTTAATGAAAAATGCATATACAATGTAGCCACTGTCAGGTGCAACTAAGAAAACCTACTGATTTCAACAAAATGCAACGCTGAATTGTGTTGTAACGTGCAGTGCCCTAGTCAAATACAGGACATGTACTAACCTTGGCTCTATGGAACTGAAAAATGTTTTCTGCCATTAATACTCGGCTGACAAATTGACTAGCAAGCAACTCATAGCTAATGCTGTTCATTTGTTTGACTCGGCTGGCTTTAGAGTTTAAAAGTTTAAAAATTCAATAAGTTAGTGAATACACTACATTTGTCTTAATTGGTGCCAGCAGATTAGAGTTCTAGGCAAATCAGTGTTTTCGGCATTAAACACCACCGTCTTCTGTCACACATCAGACATCCTGCACACACTTATTTCTCCATCCGCTCCTCTTTGCCTCAAAGCACAGACGTTTCACAACACTTTACAAAATCGTACAAAAGGAAATTTGTTGAAAGGGAAAATCTTTTGATTTTTAGATATAAAAAAATGTCTACATCACACCAACTTGTCCGCTCAGCTAAATGTACATGTATTTCCTACCCTTTTTTCGGTCACACACTTATTCCGATTCTTGTTTTTCACAAACATGTACATAATACTGAAAATGTAAAGATAGACTTGATATTTATTTTGGAACAATGAACACCGTAATACTACTGGACAGGAAAAGCTTTAAATATACATGTTCGCTTACATGTGACTGCTCCCTTTTTTAATTGAAAAAGTACCCAGGTACACGTGCATGAAGGGTCATTCAAACTTGCAGCCACGAACAGAGAGGTTCCGAAAATGCTATCGCTACGCTATCTGCACTTGGGTCCCTACAGCCTCGATCTTATCACGGCACTAGTGCCTTGACACGTTGTGACTTGATGCCATTTTGTCCCCACAAGATGCTTTCCACAAAGATTCCTTTCCACTGGATAGCAGTCGATGCATTTTTTTGGTTAGACTGAGTGTCCAATTAGTATTTACAGGGATGCAAAATACTTCACCCTTTCAAGACTGTTCCCCCCCCCCAAAGTCTTTTCTGTACCGGCAGAAAGTCTTGTCCCTCAAAGAAAACAAGAAATCCAAAAGGGACAGTTGATGTGTTGAAGCCATTTTCCTCCCGGAACATTCTTGGGCTTTCTAAATACTGTGACCGTTTCACATGCAACTATGTACAAACCTCTGCATAGATTTCATCCAGACTTTTAAGACTCCAAAAGTAGCAATGCCTGGTTCAGTTTCGATCCTGTGTCTGAAATGTGGACATACATGGGGGAAAAAAAGACATTGTTAAATGTAGAATTTATTTCTTTATTGTTACATTTTAACAGGTTTTAAATTCTTAATTTTTGGGGGGTTTGATGGCACAAGTCCCTTGAATACTTAATGAATACTTCTACATGTACAATGTACACATACAGAAATGTTATAATATTATTAGAACTGTTAGGGATAGCTACATGTATTTGTGGCTTTGTGACATTCCTTCTAAAATTATGTTTAGTTGCCGCAGTGTATTGAAGATAATTTGCTCTCACAACAGAGAAATCCCCCACTCGAGGGCCTATTGATAGGGTCCTGGTTTTGTGTACGTCTCTAATGATGTTTTATGTAGACCCCGGTTCTCAGCGGTGATGAATTTTATCAATGAGAATGAATGGCCGAGGGAATGATATATGGCGGTCGGGCAATCTGGGGATTAAAAAATGTAATGCATGAAAGATGCCATAAATGGAAACTCATAAACTGGCCTTGGCTTTTGCTGGAGCAGCAGTCGAGCCAAGCCGGGAATGTTACACAAAGTATTACTTCACATATTGCCAACTCAACTCCAAGCTACAAATACTGTGGGCAAGCTTGTGCCCAAGGCAGAGGAACTAAACATTTCAAGCATGTTTATACTGGCAAATGCATTCCTGTAAATAATGCTTTGCTGACATTACATGCCGGATGTTGCTGTCGCGTAAACAAGATGACCTGAAAATCACAACACCGCTGTTCAAAATTTAGTTTAGGTTTAAACACATGAATCTTTTTCTAGCCCCCGCACTACAGAAACGTAATGATACCATACTTGTATGTACTTTTCTCCATCAATCATGGATGCAAAGCCCGACGTTAATTACCGGCACATGTGGCTGGCAGTTGCCTATGTCACCAAATGGTAAATATTTCCAAACTTTAGTCCTAAGCAGTTAGACCTGCACCAAAAAGCCAAGTGGCTGCAAAAGTGTGCAGTTAGCTGAAATTCTGGCTATTTTTCTGGCTAAATTTACCAGCTGAAACCCTGAAGCAGTTCTGCAAGTCAGCTCTGCCTTCCTAAATTCCACACACTACTACAGAACCCGGTAATTTGAGAGATTTGGATCTCGAAGAGTAACTCACATGCAAGTGTGACTTTTTCCCCTGTATATGATTTGTGCAGTATTCTGTAGCTTGACCCCTTTTACATGTATGTTAGTATTTAATGATCAAGTCAGGGGCAGATCCAGGAATTTTTCCTAAAAGGTCAGGCCAGAGATTTCTTTTTAATGCCTCTATTTTTTTGCAGACAAGTGGAAACAATGACGACTCATTACATGCCTTACATTGTTTACAATGGTACTGGTGCATCCGCTTTCTTGATTTTTATTATTTTCCCCATTTTTTAAATCTTTTTTTGGGTGTGTGTTTTTTGAGCAGGGTTTTATTCTAACCCCCCCCCTTTTTGTACCCTGTGCCTGCAAAAACAGGTTCACAGTCAGAAAGGAAACAATTCGTTTCTTTTTTCACGATCTAGGCAAATGATATGCTGCTCAGTTTTCCCAACTTTCGACTTGCCACCACATTACTATGAAACCTGTCCCCACCCCCAAAGAAAGTGTTTATTCCACTGAAAATGCTTCGAATTCATCATCATAAAGTCCAGAAATTATACAACCAAAACAAATTTTTGGCCCCACTTGCCAAACAGGTCTACCACAAAAAATCATCTAGAATGTGGATTCAGTACCGTAAGCAGGGAGGGCCAATCAAATTTGAATGTTTATCTCTGCAGACACACACTGATTCAATAGTTCCTTTGCCGGCACCTGCGAGACAGAATGGAAAACAATCAAATTTGACAGCAGCTCCAATGCCTACACCTGTCTCGCTGGGCCTTGCCAAATCAAATCACTTGCCAGCACGTCAGGAGAATAACCGTTTCGCTACATGTAAGAAACTGTTTGGTATGCCTACATGTACTCCCCTTCTTGCCTGCACACAAGTGCTGTGTGCTCCCCAATGGCACTGGGTGTATGTACACGTGTACATGTACATATGATACGTCCGCTCATGGAGGCAGGAAAACCTCCATGGTCTGCCGTCTTTATGAGTATTGAGCACATTTATGTACACGTACATTTAAAACACTTATACTGTAGAGGGTCATTTACATGCAAAGGAACTGATCGCAGCTGGTAAGATTAGTTTTATGCAAATGAAAATCAGCCAACAATCAACAATAGGTAAAATTAATGCAGCAATCACCCCATCCGTAAATAACTTTGGGTGAAAGTCAATTATTTTGTCAAGGCGTCACAACAAAGTTAAAAGGGCCAGACAAATGTCTTTGTTACAACAATGATTTTCTTGTTTAAAAAAAAAAAAAGAAAAACAAAAAACCCCACAAGAATTCAAGAAATTGGAATTCTCATTATTTTTTATAACAGTGTTCTATACAATGAGAGTGCAATGTAGTGTAAGTCAGCAACACTTGGATTTTACAGAAAAACTGTGTGTAGCGTGCAGAAAAACAGGACTCAAACTGTGCAAGAGTCAAGTGACACCATTCTTGGTTCTTTAAGATATTTCCAATCCCATGTTTAGGAACACTGGCTGGGCTGTATATTGTTCAATCAAACAAAATCCTCCTGAACTTAATGGTAGAGGTTCAGACATATTAAAAACTCTCCATGATGTGCATTTCTCGAGCATTAACTAAAAACGGCAATTTCTCCTCTCGCATTTTCAAAAACAAAAATTCAGCATTTGTCGCATCACATCTCACGGCCTTCCCCCCCCCCCCAAAAAAAACCCAGGCATCACTACAACTGAATAACTACTGTATAACCATACCCAAACGTTTGTCGACTTCCTCGCAAAGTTTAAAAATATCCCATGTCTGTTCACACAGCCCTGTCTGTCTGGATCGATTCCGCAATGCATACCAATTGCATGCAGAAAGCGGGATTTTGCCGTTACCTGATACGCCGGGAGCTCAAGTCAATTTCCCTGTGAGCTGTTTACACTCTAAATACATTAACATGTCCTTGCACATTATCAATGATAATTGATTGGTGCATCGTCCAGAGTTCATTAAAGAATAATGAACATCCGGGGACTTACTGCTTACTGAGAGATACAGCAATTATTATAATTGCTGCCTTCACAGTGATACCCTTAACTTTTGGTTTTTCTTTATCACTCAGAAGGACGGCACCACATTGACGTTATCCTTGATTAGTTTCCACAAGGCTAAATGAATGAATTTAGCCTTAAGAAAACCTCTTCTGATTTCTCTAACGTGGCAGATTACATGTCATTTCCTCACAAGTACCTGCCTGAATAATTGAGCTCTGAATTGAGATAGTGTTTCCAAATCATGTAGCCCTACAAAAGTTCTGCACTGTGCACATCTTTGGACTGCTTAATGGTTTCATATGTAGGAAAAAAAGGATAATCAGGATTAATTAGAGTGAAATAAAATGAAAAGCCAATGAAATGTGTGGATCTATTACCTTGGAATGAGACGAAATAATAGTTTAAAGTAGTCTTAGGAAATTTTTGGTACCTTTGGAGTTCATGTATTAGTGACTTCAAGCAGTGCATAAAAAACCACCCATGTACCTTGATCAAACTTCTGTAGGCGTCATCTCAGGTGTGTCGCGCCGTACCCTGTTGATGTCGTCGTAGCCATGTCGGCTGGTAAAAGCCTCTTTGGTAGTCGTGTAAACGCCAACAAAGTAGTCCTTAATGTCGTTGCGGCGCAGGTACAACACGATCAGGGCCAGCAGCCCCACCAGGGCCAGGATGACACTCAGGATGATGTATGAGGGCCGCAGCTCATTCTCCACGTCCACCTCGTCTGGCCCGGGCCGGCACGGCAGCTGGGACCCCAGCACCGGCTGGCCGCGCCGGGATGTCTCCACGGCATCCCCGCATGTCACGTTGTCCCTGTCCGCAACCAGGTTGGTCGTGTTTAACCAAGCTTGGAAGGCCTTGAGCTTGCAGTTGCAGAAGAAAGGATTGCCACCGAGACGGATACTAAGGGAAGGCTGCTCGCTGGCAAAGCTATTGAAGTCATTGTCAATGACCAATTTGTCAACGTTGACTAGTTTGTTGTTGCTTAAATCTAGGTTCTGCAGATTTGGGAATATCCTTTTCTGAAATATGAGAGAGGAGAGAAAAACACAGGAAAAACTCTGGATTACAGGGAAGCTGTTCTTATTTTGTAGACTCTAAATAGCCAAGACAAATGTACGGTAAGCAGATCTGGATTTCTAGGAAATTTACAAAGTGAGTTAAAGTTAATTTGAAAACTACAAAGCTGCAAAACAGAACTTTTTTTGTGAAGAAAAAATTGTCTTGTTTTTACCTGGAAAGTGCCATTTTGGATACCAATTAAATCACTGTTGTGTAGAGTCAAATTTCTGAGCGCTAGAAACTTTGATCCTTTGGGAAAAGATGGGAGTAGTCCGATGTTGTTACTATCCAATCTCAGGGCCTCCAGTTTTGTTCCTTTCACATCACTGAAGACATGCTTCAAATTCTGCACGGGACTGGAAATGTTCAAGAACGCTGCTCTAAGACTCAACAAACGGAGTTCTTCAGAAACTTGGGCAAACATCTTCTGAGTGGCATTCGGGGTGAGCTTGTTCTGGTCCAGGATGACTTCTTCCAAAGCAGGGAAGATGGTGCCAGAGAACCAGCCCTCTTCGATGTTGCTGATGTTGTCATTGGTCAGAATCAAGGTGGTCAGTTTGGTGAGGGCTCGGCTCGGCTGATATGCCATTGAAAGGTCTTCCAGAGTGGTTACCCCTGATACGGTCAGGGAGGTTGTGTTCTCTGAGACCATCTTCCACACTGGCCAGGCACTGCAAGTCAGGGCGGTGCCCGAACACAAACAGCTGTCTGGTCTGGTTCGCAACTGACATCTTGAACCCTGGACTGCAATGGCTGTCATGGAAAGGACAAGAACGATGAGCAGAGACAGGTGTTGCTCAGACCGGGCCATGGTGTCCTCAAACTTTCACTTCAATCCCAGTCCGAGTGATTCCCGCTGGACAGCAAAGTTTGTTGCTTTTTTGGTCTTTTGATAGCCTCAGGTGTCCAGTCCTGGAGTGCGTTTCTAGAGGTCACTTGGGTGGGACAGTGTGATATCTGTCTCAACTTCTGGGCTGTCTACTGTAAGCCACCTTTCCACATCAGACCTGAGCAGCAAAGTAACGCAGGAAAAAAAATCAGTTCAAGCAGAAAAAAATCAATTCAAGCAGAAAGGCCTTGCTGGAGAAAATTGCAAATTGGAAACGACATTAGATGGACTTACAAATCAAACACTCGCTGACAGCTTCAAAAGTCAAGCCTGAAATTTCATACTTGATAAACTTCAATGTTAAATTTACCTTCCCGATTCAGGCATGGATAATATGCCAACACAGCTTTAGTCAATGTAGCATGACAAAACATTTTCATGGGTTTTTGTATTCCAAAGTGCCATTTGTGCATCTGCCAATAGGACAGCACGCTGCTTCTTATGGTAAATCAAGAAAACTTGGCGGCCTTTTATCCTCAAGATTTTCCCCCTCGTGCTGGTAGTTATAAGTCACTGACGCGTAATGAGGCAAAGCAGTCTGCAGAGAGCGGCAATAATAATGTTAAAGCGCCAAACTGCGGGGGACCCAACTAGGTGTGAAATTTATGATGAGGCGTAAGACAAAATAGGCACGCTCTGGTGAATGCCATCATGGAGCCAGGAGTCGTGGGATGCGGTGGGGGGGGGGAAGCAAGTGTGAAACTGAGATCAGACTCGGTAATTATCTGTGCCCGACGAAACAAGCCGGCTGGCTGTGGGTGTGTATAATGCATGAACCCTCCACCGAACTATGGGATCACAGCAGGTACACATGGAGATTAGTGAAATGATAACTTGAAGGCTGACAATAGGACAAAGAGATATTACAATCAAACACCAAGTTTAATCAACACGGGCTGAAGTGACTGGCATGAATACTCATGAACCATATACTGCATATATATACATTAACCCTCCTATGCAAAGATGCATTCTGGACACAATTGTCCTATCAGTCAGAATCAGTCCAGTGACATACTGTATAATATGCCTATGTACTGTACAGGGAGAAAAAGAAGGAATTTTTGTCTGGTTGTTACAGCAAAAGGAGGGTTAATCATTTTCTACAATTTAACCTTTTTTTCAGATCATACGATCTGAAATGACCTAACTCTAGAAGTCATCTTCTTCATCTGTGAAGCCTACTGACGCTCCACACACACACAGAAGTTTAGCAAAGTAACTCTTCTACGTTATGACCTAGGATGGGGAACAACATCTTTCAGTTCTCTACTGAGAATAGTTTCACTGTACATGTACAACCACACGGTGACACATGGTCACTATGGTCTAACAGAGTGCATTTCTACCCAATTACATGTAACTCAACCTTCTAGGCATTCTTGCTACATGTCCTTTCCAAATCCTCTGCTGTGCAGTATAAACAACCAAGGCAAAACTTTGGAAATTTGACTTCCGAGGAGCATCAAGCCCCGTGTAAAGAGCCAGTTCTAGTAGCTGCACTCTCCAGGTTTCTTCCTCAATCCTACAAAATCATTCAAAATCTGTGGGCTTCTGAAAAATCTAGAAAGATCTTCTGAGGTTTTTTAGACAAAAGCTATGCATGTACAGGTATAACCAACATGTACATTTTGAACCTACAGTGCCTACAATGCACATGCCCAAAATGCTTATCTTTCTACAATATACTTGTTACGAGCCAATTCTTAGCACAATGTAATAATGAATCAGCTTAACAGCATTAGCAGCCTGGGATGGGATACAGCTTTGTCGTCAGCCAATGCACTGGTGATCACCATATCTATCAGGTATGTACTCCCAGCAGCATTAAGCCAATCAGGCTCAGTGATCTCCCTTGGGGGCTTTACAAATCCACAATTGGGGCAAACCAGGTGAATAATTCATCATGGTCCCATTGAGGCGGGACACTGGCCCACTTTCAGAGGAGTGTGATGCTAGATCTTGGTCTCAGCCTATGCATACCATACCACTTACAAGAAGCCTGGGTTGTGTAATTAAGCTGGCGCATGTATATAAACATTAGCTCACGGTATTGTTTAATATAAATATGATCCCGTACATGCTACATCTCAGGGTCACAGTTGAACTGGTTCCATTGCCTCAAACACTTTTGCCTGACATCTAATTTTAGCTCGGAGCAACGTTGAAGCACGTATTCCCTTCAAGAGCTTAGTCAACAGAGTCATAAATTATGCTACAAATTACAATTTCTATGGAGACAATTACCGACATTGAACCTTTGAATCTGACAGAGAAACAGGCATATATGACAAATGACTTCTACTTTCTAGTGGTTCAAATGAGACCTAGAACATCAGGTCGACTTTTTTCACCTGTTTCAAAGCAACAGATTCCCCCAGATGCTGAGCAACAGTGCTACCAGGGGAAACCATATCAGTTCAACTTTTGTTTTTGGTTCTTTATAGTGATGAAATGTTTATGATCAGTGGCTCTTACAGAAATCGTTGATGTCTTCACGGAAACACTGCTATGTTCTCACACTGGAAATGATGGCTCCTTCTTATGCACCAGACTATTTACTTAGAAATGACTTGGACTTCACCTACATGACGACTACCCATATGTGTATTTTTAAGCGTACATGTAGCCGTGCAGCAACAGCAAAACTGACACGAGTCAGCAGCAACGCTTGCGACACTACCTCACAGTTATACCCATCTGCCTGTGTTTGGCACTGCCGAGCCCACCAAGCGGAACTATGCTCTCACTGAGTACATGTACATGTATGTTTGACTTCAATCAATTTTGATTGCAGCGTGCCGGAGAAGCAAGACTGCATAGAATGTTCACACGTAGAAAGCAAATTTGAAGATAGAGGCGCATCTGGACACGACTGGTGCTGCGGTACATGTGGTCCATGTTTGTGTACAGCCAGCAATGCTCGCCCCCTGGCCAGCACGCCTGACATAAACCATAAATTGTCTCCCGCAAGAAATATTTCTACTGCCCTAACTTGTCATGGAAATTCCTAAATGTCACGTCAGTCAAAGATGTTGAATAAAAGGGAGAGCAGGACAGGGTTAACTTAAGAAAAAATAATGACTTTTCAAAAGCTGTCTCGAATTTACCACCACAGACTGAATTTGTCATCCTTTTCTCAAGCCAATGAAAACAGCTGGACTGATAGTCAGCGAAACTGACAGGTTTTTAATTACGAAGTAGGCATATTACTGGTGTGCATTATGGCATGCATATGGAATGTCTATTTACAATGTAAAACTAATTCTCACCTGCATGATCACATGTATGTACTATGTCTTCTACAAATTCCTACAATATGCATATGCAGTGTTTGTTTATGCATATGCAGTGTTTGTCATGCATAGGCAGTGTTTGTTCATGCATATGCAGTGTTTGTTCATGCATATACAATGTTGTCAGCACTTCAGGACAAACGTTATACATGTCCATGTTTTTTTAATTGAGGATAGAATTCTTACTCAGCAGGACTTTGTGAGCGATGCTGTGTCTTTCCTACAGCCGCAGTGAATTGAATTATCAATCACAGCATGTCTGCTCCAGCCAAAACATGACTCTGGTAATTTCCTGATGCATTCCACCAAGAACTACTGAATTTCTTTCTGGCAGGGCATCAGAGTGAAACCCTTCTCCCTGGCATGAACAGCCAGACCATTTCACACCCTTCAGCCAGTGTTGAGCCAAAACCCTCTTTACTGGCAAGAGGTCACAACAGGGCACCAAAGTGCTCCAGGGTAAAAATTGTACAAAGACATGCACTCTTGAGGTTGTAACCTGAACTTTCACAAGTAAGGTTAGAATTTGAATGCTGTCCCGATGGCAATTGATTGCTTCCTCATAAGTGACAATACGGTGCAGTTCAACAATTCTATGCTCAGACATGAAACAAAATGGTGAGAAAACAGGGTTTCATTTCACTCTATGCAAGTATATGAAGAGCATAATCGTCGATCAGCATAATCACCATGTGTTTTGATACAATTCCCTTCCTCATGCCTCAACTGACAGAAAGAAAAGGCAGTTGGGTGATGGAAGAAGTTTTGGCAAATTGAAACAAGATCAACAGGATATGCAAAGATTGGGTGATTGCACATCCTGACCACTCGCACCTAACATCTTTTATCTTTATAAATATAGTTGTGTACTATTATGCACATGGAGTGGAAAAATGACTGTCAATATTTAAATGCTTAAAAGTTTTAGAATGCTCCTTGATGCCAAAGCTTCAAACGTGTGTGTAATTAGAAATTTGTTTGATGCCCTCCACGACACACGTGCACCACTAAGCAAACAGACTACAAAGCGACGATGGCGTGAGAGTCTACCAGACATTTCAAATCTACCATTCCTTTTTTGTAAAGATTTCGACCACTCTTCTCAATAATTTGTTAGGAGCCATACGTTATTCTGTTAGAATGGTAACTATTCTATAAACACCATTATGCAATGCTACAATGTACAATTGTTATTTCTGTAAAACCCTATTGCCCAATCAATGGGGTCAACACTGATTACATACCTTCTATTAATTCATCTGGAGAGTGCTTTGATCGTTTGTTTAGACGCTCCAAACTACAGTGTAATTACACTCACAAGAGGCTGTGGGTGTACACAGACAAGGCAAGTCAATATTGGACAATTTTGTATTATCGACCGGAAAGACGGTGCTGGGAATTGGCTAGGCTCCTTTCCCATGTGAGTGACCGACTTTTTAGCCCGTAGGGCACTGGGGGAATTCATGATCGGCTTGAAACAGACCGTGTGTAAACCGTTCAGTCTTCAGCACAGCTGCAGGCTTGGGACATGTACCTGCAGGAATTGGAATACACTTGGGGGGGCTCAGTGGTTTCAGTCACAAAAATGCTGGCCAAAGCCCAAGGCAGTCTATCACCAGATTTTGCCATCTCTAATTTGGAGGGGGGGAATGCGGGGAAGGGAGCCGGGGACCCTGTCTCTCCACCCCTTGGCTACACCAATGAGTCCATGATGAGGGAAACACACTGATCAGTATTCTGGTGGACATCTTGGGGAAAAGGCACGAGCTAAAAATATCCATTGTAAAAATTTTAAGACATTTAGATAAATTTTTACAAAGCTCGTCACTTTCACATAGCCTACCTGCCTACTTCAAAATCTTTATTTTAAATAGCAACAGCTCTCAATGGCTTTCAAGCCTTTTCAATCATGTCAATGACACTAACAGTAACATGACCAAGTTCACCATTTCCAACACGAGAGAATGTAGCACTATTGTTATAGAAGATTATGAACAAAGAAACCAACTGGATTTGCCTACTAATAGTACTATATAAGGTCTGTTTCAACTTGCATCTAGCATAATCTAAGAGTGCTCAAGTTCGTCCGACTAATGAGGTTTCACACTGAATAGATCGTTAACATACCCGATGATTTATAGTAAACGTTAGCATGGTTAGGCCTATCTTTTAAATTTAGGCTTCCATGGCTACGTTACATTCATTGACATTCTGCTGAATTTTTTAAGTTTAGAAAACAGCAATTCCACATTCCGAAACTCCTTGAGGGTTAGACATGGGGGCTACAGCAAAAATTAACCACTGCAGAGCATAATTATCAATTAATTTGCTGATTTGGCTGTTTGGGGACCCTCGCTCGGCCATGTACACTACTGAATTGTCGGAAAAGCACGCCCTACGTGAGTCAAAACACACAAAAGCTTGCCCTTAACCCAGCGCATAAGGTTCGATTCTTCTCGATCAACTCTCGAAAACTTCGACGAGACCTTGCGTGCCATGGGGTCGTTTACCCTCCCAAATTGCTGGAATTTTTCCACCACATCAGATGAACACACAGCTGTCCAGTCCATTGATACCGAAGGGAGTAGCAGTTTTAATTACACCTTACCTTCTTCGCTGAAAAATGGTGACAAGGTGACGCTTGAATATATTGGAACTCTTGAAGTTCACTGTGAGACCATGGTGAGACGTTACCTACTTCGTGCGTACAGTGTTTGTCTGTACATGTACGTACGATACACTTGTCTCGTCACACGCCACAATGACACCGCAGATTCGTCCATTTTAATAAATGGGTGATGGCTATGGAAAGTGACTAGTGCAATAAACCATTAAAATGTAAAATGACACACTGGTCTTCTGTGTATAGTGCTCACCCATCAATACTAGTAAACTGATTCAAACTAACTTGTTTTGTTTTTTTGCACTAGTGTATTTTACCCAAAATTAATTGGGCTTCTCACGTATTTCAATATTTCTTCACCTCCGTGCAACTTTGGTTTCGACTAGGCCGTGCTAAAAGATACCGCACATGTCAAACGGAGGTTTCGCAACAAAAGGATTTTGTGTATACCGACTGAATAATTTATTGAAGGGGCGAGTGGGGTTTAAAAGTCGATAAGTTCTTTTGTGGCCTTGTTTCGGCAAGTGACAGTAAGACGGCTCTCTGACTCATGGCACGATTGTATTTCTGAGAAGTTTTAGACACTTGGATTAAGTAAGATGAGGGGATGCGCGATTATTGTCTCCAGTTTAATGTTCGTGACCTGACTAGTTAATTTGAGGCAAAGCTCTCTGGAGAGCTGTGGCCCGCGCTATATAACAACTCTATATGAGGATACATACATAACATTTTGGTGAATGTGAATTGAAATCGCATTTTCTTTGTCAGCCCTCAAGGTATTACCCTCTACTGGGTCTGGTTTCAATTCTTGAAAGTTATTTCAAAGTTGTTCTTATTGTATTTTGAATTAAAATCAATGTTTCTAAGAGTCCTCGTCCCTGTCCTCGCCCCACCCATTGTCTTCCTTTACCCCACCCCGCCCACACGCCACCCAATCTTTACCACCAACCCTTTTACGCAAACAGCATTGCAAACTAGAGTTGTCGACATCCGTTGTACCGTAGAACCTTTGTGCCGATTCATCATTGGATTCACCTCTTTGCAGAAAGCCTGTGATGATTCATGATTTCTTTGTGACTGTTTTCGTTAAAAGCAAAATGGTTTACTTTCCTTATATTTTTCTATTCACTCACCCTGGACGCTGGTTCCTCCACTCCAGATTTAGGGAAAGGACAATTCTGTATATTGATCCACATTTGGGTCACTTCACTTGCCCAGGAATAATGGTGACCCGTTTCGAACTTAATTCCATCTTTTGTTTTCATTATCTTTCAGGGGCAACCACATTAAGTAGCTAATTTGTATTCCATGGCTTAGTCTAGCCTCTAGGATATTTTGGTGCATTATTTAGCTCTATCCATTTTTCAGTGTGAACAGCCCCCATCCCACTTTGTACACACCCTTGGCAAAAATAGGGCTAATTAAGAGAAATTGTGGACATGATTGTTGGACATGACAAGAATGACAAAAAATGCCTACTACTCTGTATCAAGCCATGTTATGTGTCAGAAATTTCCCCCTTTACAGTTTCCTTCAAACAGGCCAAGTATCTCAGTTTGTGCATGTGACAATTTTATTAAAAATAGAGCTATCAAAACAAAAAGCAACAAATTTTGATTGAGTCCAGCAAGAATAATATTTCAGATCTGTTCAGGTCTAAGAGAGAGGGTCATGAACAAGGCCGGTCTTTATTCATGCTGTCATCTTTTCTTATTCCCTTTTGTTGTCTGCATGGCCCTAGGAACCTGCTTAGTTTTTATTCTACATCATCCTCAAGGACATCAACGCCATGCCAGAGGTTCTCAGCCTCGCCCCGAGACAGTGGTTTGAGCTGTGGTCACTTCTGGTGGACTGCCATACAGTCATGAGCAAGGGGATTGAATTCCCAGCGACCTGGCCAGTGAATGTGTTGAAAATTGGCCACGGAATTCTGGTCTCTATTTTGCCGCCAGGTATCAGCCAGTGTGTGAGTTTCCTTCCTCCATGGTTAAGCCAACAGCGGAAAATGCGAAGAAAACAGAACCCTGGTCTGAAGCAAGCTGCTTCGGGAGCAAATTCAGGGATAGGTTGTGTTACACAGCCCATTACTCCTCAGGTGTTTTTTTTTTAATGAAATAAAGGCTAACTATATCGTAAGGGCATTTTTTAGATGACTGTCGTTTGCAAAATTTAGGGCAGAGGTAGTTTTAAACAAAAGAATCAACACATCCATTTTTGTGGTATTTAGGCCTACAGCAGTATTTTATTCCTCTGTGTAATTAGTATTATCGTTTCAGCTTGTGGGATGATTTTGGACCAGGGTTCATTCTCTACGGTGCTGGGAATTATGTACGTTTCAATGCAGTCCTTACAAATGCTCTTTGGCATCTCATTTAATCAGATTTTTAATTTCTAAGCTAATTGCTGTGCCACTGTTTTGCATACTTACTTATGAGCAGAAGTGTGACGCCATCCAAGACAGAAAACTCAATAGCTATTTCTGCGCAAAATTTGCCAGTATTTTGCCATTTTGCCGTCGTTAATTTGTTTACCATGGTGAAGTGTTACGTTTCATGGCAGCTCGCCAGTGAGCAAAAATTCTTGGTCTCACAAGCATTTCTGTGAGAAAATTTGGCATTTACAATTTCAACGGAAGATTTTGAGTTTTATCTGAAAGTGCGCCGAGAATTGTTTCCAAAATAAGCAAATATCTTTACTAAATGCGGTTAAAGATATGAATGAAGGAAACTTATTAATTATCTTATCATTTTAAAATGAAAATGGCTAGTATGTATTGAGGGTTTTGAAAGCAAGCGACGTATCTAAATAATACAAGGGAAGTTTGTTCATTGTACGATGGATAACTCTGCCCCAAGGTGTAATCACTATGCGCCATTTGAGCAGGCGATACGCCTGCGCCATTCTCAGTAATGCGCAGGCGCACCAGGTGTTGGTGCCAGCAGTTTCACCCGCCCCGGCGTATTAATGTGCGTTGCGCAGTCGTATCGCTTGCTGAAATGCCGTCTCTGCAATTACAACGTTTTACACGTGTTCACCGTGAAGTTCTCCATCTTGCGCCGCTGTGCTGTACGATTTTGCTAAAGCGGGCCCATAGTGAACCCTGTTCAACGACTTCGCCCATATGCAGCAAGGTATGAGACGGAGAGAACCCCCCCCCTGCTTTGTGTTAGTCATTGTCTCTCAGGAATCTGGGGAATTCCTTTCAGACATCTTGGGGGGGGATGTGT